ATCTGTGTTGACGTCTGTCCAAAGCATTTCCCTCACCAAGCTGCCCTTGCAATTCCTTTCAATTTTATCACCTGCCCATCTACAGCCTCAATGAGATTCATTAGACTTCTTTCACAGTACCACAGTCTTCCCTCACCTGTCCCAACTGTGTGGCCTGTAAATTCCTGGGCCAATCTGCAACACCTTACAAAATAAGGTTATTGCTTCCTCAGATTAGCTACCTTTCTGTGCTATTTGAGGTGTTACCCAGTCCCATCTTAAAATGGCTACAATGAGAAGGTGCTCATTATGCTATTGGGTACATTTTCCCAGTTTCTGTGACATTCCCACTCTTCCTCTCCGCTTCTTCTGGACACACCCCAGTTCTCCAATACCTCAACTGCTGTCCAGAGTACTGAGATCTCAGCCTGTGCTTGTTTTTATTCATTGTACGGGAGTAAATGGGAGTATCTACTCACTTTACTATCTTGCTCCACCTCCCCAGATCTTTCAGCTGACAGTAATTATTTCTTTCTTCATCACCACATGAGTGGCCCTGGAGGTCCATTAAGATTATAGCTTGGAGAAAGTAAACTGTCCTCTAGCCACATTATTCCCAGCCCCATCACTTCTAAGAGTAAATTATAATTAGATATCTTGTACATATGTAAGATGGGGTTGAGAGAATGGGCAGGAAAGAGAATCTCCTCACCATAAGCCAAAGCTTGGATTCTCACTTGGTTTTCTTGAACAACACTAGGAGAGCTAGTGTTATTATCCCATTTTACAAACACAGCCACTTAATAAGAGTTGAAATAAATATAAATATAATCTAAAAAGCCCTTGTTCTTGGTAACATAGGGCACAGCTTCTCTAGTAGTAAAAATACTCAATACATACATATCCACACACACACACACACACGTAGTGTACAGGCATGGCCCTGAGTGTTATATGTGGGCTAAATCCTTGACATTGCTGTCCACCAGTTTTTGTCTAATTATTGTTGTTGTTACATGCCATCAAGTCAGTTCCAACCCATAACAACCCTGTATAGGGTTTCCAGGGAGCAGAAAGTGAGCTTCAACAATCAATCTTGCAGTTCAAACTGACCTTGCAGTCCAGCACATTAACTCACAGAGCCACATCTGTAATTTGGGAGTGTTAGTAGTTCATATGCTTTTATATTACAAAGTTGCTGTGGGGAACAATTAAATGTCTGGAGCCTGCTAAGGATTATTAAATGCCTGCAATTCCCCTCTCAGGTAATTGCTTTTGAGCCATAAAGGGACAATTTAAAAAGCACTTGCATTTTAATATCATTTTCACGAGATAAAAAGGATTCCAAAAATTCCATAATATCTAAATTTGACACTGCTATTTGAGAGGTGAAGAAACATTATAGCCATATGTTGTTTTAAAGAGGTTTAATTGCCTGCTTCAAACACTTGTCTTTTTTTATTGGAGGTAAATTATAAAAGCTCCATGATGAAGTAGATTCTCTTTTTCAGCTAAGAGCAAGTTCTTGAACAGGAAGTTGGTAACCCAGGCAGTCAGCTCCAGTGACAATTCTTCCAAGTATCTACATTAATTTTCATCCAGTGAAAGGTGTAATTTTCCAAGCCTGACTTGTGGCAATGGTTAAAACTCCCATCACTGTCAAACCCAGAGGGCCTCAATTCATCAATTGGCTGTCCCTTCTCTCTTCTGAATCTTTAATCTCACCCTCTTGACTGACTCGTCACCCTCAGCACTTAAACTTGTTCACTTTTCTCTTAAAAAACAAAGACTAAAAATAAATCTAAAGTTTCCTTGGCCTTTGAGTCTCCAGATCGTTTTCTTCTTTCTATAAGGTTAATTTGTAATTTTCAATCTAACAAAAATAGATAAATAAATAACCTATTTGTTTCTCATTTTAGACACACAAATGATCAGATTTTTACTTCTTTCCTCCCTGCTTACCCCTGCCCACCATCAGATTTTTACTTCTTTCCTCCCTGCTTACCCCTGCCCACCACCACCTCTCTCTCTCTCTCTCTCTCTCTCTCTCTCTTTCTCACACACACACACACACACACACACACACACACACGTACACACGTGTGCACCTCTAAAAGCATTTTCACTATGTTCTCAGATCACTTCTTAGTTGGTCCATCTATGGACACTTCACTTCACATTTACCTTAACTTCCCTATGGTCGCTAACACTCAGATCACTTCTTTCTAGAACTCCTATGATGCCTCATCTCTGGCTCTCCACTTACCGTCTGTTCTTTCCTTCTTGGTCTCCAAAATCTTTAAATGTTGGAACTCCCCAGAGTTATCAAGATAGAACTCTTTATATACATACACTCTTGGATATGTCCCAATCAGTCCTAGGAATTCTGTTTCCATCCCTAAACTCCCTCCTCCTAATCCCCTAATGTCTCTGGTCCCTAGCTGTTTTCAGGACTCAGATTTCTGAGGTCAACTTGGCATCTCCTTCTGGGACTCTGCTGGGTCTTGTTAATCAAATTACATCCCAAAACTTTATAGCTACTACTTCCAATTCTCTCATTTCAGTTAATGGTCCCACAGACTAACTGTTAAAGTTAGAAATCTATCCGTCATCCTTGACACCTAAATGCAGTTTAATATAAAGATTGAGGGAGTCCTGGTGTGGTGCTGTAGCATAATCACTGGACTGCTAATGGGATTGCTAACTGCAAGGTCACTGGTTCAAACCCACCAGCTACTCCTCAGCAACCTTTTACAAGGTCTCTGGGAGTCAGAACAGACTGGATGACACAACAACATAATGGCTAAGAGGAAATTTCTGGGAATACACCACCTACATTAAGTTTGATTTTTCTGTACCTACGTCACAAAGTCATAAATAAATACGTTACCTTTTGTAAAACCCCTTATTGTTTGTTTACCTCTTCACCTGTCTTACCTATGCTCTACATAAATTAAAACCCATGCTCTCAACTCAACCCCAATGACAGTTCTTCAGTGTCTTCTACAACACTCAACATCCAAATTCTTCATCTTGCCTTATAGGGAACTTCTCAGTCTCAGCCTCACCTCCACTGACTGGGGGCTGGGTGATATCCTGGAACAAGTCCTGTGCTTTCCTCTCTGAGCCATTTCACATGCTCTTCCTTCTGCCTTAAAGCAATCATTCTCCCTCTTCCCAGCCCTTTTATCTGGATGACTACTAACTTTTCAGTTTTCATCTTGAATGTTGCTTTCTCTAGGAAGTCTTGATCCACAAACAAGTTTAGCACCCAGCTATGAGTTCCCACCTACTTTAGAATTACCTTTTTATAACTAGATACTTCTTTGAATTTTATTATAATTGTTTTTTTGTCCATTTCCTCCCTTAAATTATTTTCTCTGTGAAGGAAGAAAGTGTGTGTATTTTACTTTTCGATCACATTGCTTGGAATACCCTCGGTGCTGAGCCCATGAATGGACTAGCACAAGACCCAGAATATCTGGGCAGAGATTATATTGAAGAAACTAATCATAAAATGTAAAACTGCTGACTCTTGGGGACTGGCATTTTAAAAAAATAGCTAGAAAATTCAGTTTCAGACCTTATGTTGTTGTTGTTGTTAAGTGCTGTAGAATCAGGTTCCAACCCATAGCGACCCTGTATAGGGTTTCTGAGGAGCAGCTGGTGAACTTGAACCACTGGCCTTGAGGTTCAAGCAGAATTTGCAATCCAGCGCATTAACAATCAACGCCACACCAGGACTCCATCTGATCTTATGTTGTATTGTTGTGAAGTGCCATCGAGTCGATTCCGGCCCATAGCAACCCTGTATAGGGTTTCCAAGGAGCAGCTGGTGAGCTTGAACCACCGACCTTGCAGTTGAAACGACTTTGCAGTCTCACGCATTAGCCCACAGTGCCACACCAGGACTCCATCTGACCTTATGTTATTGTTAAGTGCCATCGAGTTGGTTCCGACCCGTAGCAACCCTGAACAGGGTATCCAAGGCTATAAATCTTTTTGGGAGCAGAAAGCCTTATTTTTCTCCCTCAGAGCAGCTGGTAGTTTCGAACTGCTGACCTTGTGGTTCGCAGCCTGATTCGTAACCACTATGGTACCAGAGTTCCTTATCAGAGGAAACAAATACAGAGTGTTTTAAACACTAAATTCTAACTCCCTGTGATGGGCTTCTTTACAAATTCAAATGGCTAGTTTTAAAAAAATTCAATGTAAGAGTCTCTATGTGTGTGTTTCTTGACTTCTCAAGCCCATAGCCCATTCTGATCATTCCATTTCAGACCCTCACTCTACCCTCACCAGAACAGACAATGACTGTGTTGGGTCCACCTTCTGTATACTCCCATCAGTTATGGTTTTATTTCATTTTAGTTGGTTTTTAAATGTCCCCGAGTGGTACAAATGGTTTGCACGTCTCTGGAAACCGAAAGGTTGTCAATATCAATCCACCCATTGGCATTGCAGAAGAAAAGACCTTGTGATCAGCTTCCATAAAGGTTACAGTCAAGAAAACTCTATGTAGCATTTAGTTCTACTTGATAACTCATGGGATTGGTGATGGTGGTTGAGTACCGTGGAGTCAATTTTGACTCATAAAGACTCTATATGGGATTTCTGTTGGTGATAATCTTTATGAGAGCAGAAATTCTCATCTTCTCACAAGAAGCAACTGGTGAGTTTGAACTTCCGACATTGAGGTTAGCAGCCTAGTGCATAACCCACCTTGCTACCAGATCTCCTTGATGCTTGGGATTATCAGAAATCAAAATTGGCTCAATGGCATAGGCAATAAGTGTTGATTATCACGGCATTAAATTTGTCTTTTCAAACTATGAACACACCCAGAGTCAGATATTTTACCCACAGTAAATCTCCCAAACCCCAGAGTATAAATAAAAATGGACTCAAATATTTCTTTATGGAACGGTGTGTGATTAACTATGTTGTGTGTATTTACTTATGTGGTGGTACTTATGCTCATGTGGTTGCTCCCCTTAATAATTGCATTTCTTCTCAACTAGGTGCAGTTACATGATAGACAATGTTGTCCTCTTGATGAATGGTGCACTGCAAAAAAAGCCCGTGAAGGACATTCTGGCTAAGTGCCACCCATTGGGGAGTTTCATGGAAATGGAAGCAGTCAACATTGCAGAAACAGCTTCAGATCTCTTTAATGCTGTTTTGCTGGAAACACCATTAGGTATGAACACGTAAGCAACTCTATAACTGCTTAGGCAAATTAATCAAAGTCATCAGAAAATATACTTTCTGTTCAAAATATTCCTCTTATGAGGAACAATGTTACATTGTACCAAAGCCACTGCTGTTGAGTTGATTCTGACTCAGCAATGCTTTAGGGCAGAGTACACGGCTCCTTAAGTTTCCTCAGGCTGTAAATCTTTACAGGAGTAAACAGCCTCATCTTTCTCTCATGGAGCAGCTAGTGGGTTTGAAACACCCTTGTAGTTAAGAGCCCAATACCACACATCAAGGAATCATCTACTTTAGTTCTTTCATTTTTATGACCAAGACAACTAACACAGCTTCTTCAGGGTCACAAACAAGCTATTTGTAACAAAGAAGGAGCTGGAGTCATCTCCCAACCTTCAAACTTTTGTATTTTGTACAGATTTCAAGAAATTGTCTAGTTGGGTTTAACATGGTTAGTTCCTTATATTTTATGTAAAATGTTGCATTTAAGAAGTATTTTGTTTTAGGAAGTTCAGGAATAGTATTTTTCGGAGATGGTCAGGGTGATGTTGTTGTTATGTGCCATGGAGTCAGTCGGACTTATAGCGACCCAGTACAGGGTTTCTGAGGCTGTAAATGTTTACGGGAGCAGAAAGCCTCATCTTTTTCCTGTGAAACAGCTACCAGAGCTCCTTAACTAAACGGTGGTAGCGTAGTGGTTACGAAACAGGCTGCAAAGCTCAAGGACAGCAGTTCGAAACTACCAGCTGTTCTGAGAGAGAAAGCTGAGGCTTTCTGCTCCCGTAAAGGTTTACAGCCTCAGAAACAGGGTGTCTATGAGTTGGATGAGTCGGAACCAACTCAACGGTACATAACCAACCATAACCACAGTGCTATTAATTAATTAATATCATTAGATAGTACAACCATCACCACTCTCTGTTTCCCATTTTTTTTCCATAATGCTAAATTGAAACTTAGGGGACTCTGTCCCCTAGGCAGTGTGTCCCACTTACTCCCTCTTGCCACTAACAGTTCATTGGGGGTTTTTTTGTTTTGTTTTTTACAGTTGAATCTTTATTTAAGTCTCATCTGCCAACTTTGAGCTTCCCACCAACTCAGGGAGCAGAAATTTTCACAGGCTTCACAAACTTTTGTTTAGGTGCTGTCTTCATGTGCACCTTAGCAGCAGTCATTGTCGTCTGTTTAAACGCTAGCTTAGCCTTTTTTGCTTCTTTGACAGCCCTGATGGCCTGTTCTTCTTGTGCCTTTCTAACTTCAGGCTTCTGATTTCTCTTGGTTATTCTATCAGCAAGAGATGAACCAGCGATTGGGCCTCTGGAATTTGACTGCATGGAAGTTCTTTTCTTTTGAATGCATTCCAATTGCCTCTTTTTGTGCTTTCTTCTGTAGAGGGCAGTCCAGTTTATCTGCCGAGGGTTCCTCTTGGAAAGAAATGCTGACTCACATTTTGCATAAAGAAACTGGAAAACCTTCCTGTCAGTCCTGGCATAGCTTCTCCTGTGGCCAGGGTAGATTTTGTACCTGCTGAAACTGCACATTTTGACCTTCACAGCTGCTGCTGCTGCAGGGGAACAGGGAAGGTGGTGAAGAGCAGCAATTCACTATTGATCATTTGTCTGACTAGTTGGCCTTCACTGTAAAAAAAATTTTTAATGTCTTGTGCTATCAAGTGACCAATACATCAGGTAGCATAGCATGGTGGAAAGGACATGAGTTCTGAAATTAGACAGCCATGGGTGTGAAGCTAAGCTCTGCACAGTCCTAATAAGGGGACTTACTGCAATTCAATTTACCTCTCTATCTTTCATTTAAAAATGATGGAGCTTATTATATAACACAGGAGCCCTGGTAACATAGTGGATTATGAGCAGGGCTGCTAACCACTAGATCAGCAGTTCAAATCTACCAGTCACTCCACAGGAGAAAGATGAGGCTTTCTGTTCCAGTAAAGACTTAGTCTCAGAACCCCTATACAGGGAACCGACTCAACAGCATACCACCACCACCATGACATAGCCCAATGAGACTTCATGACACAACAACTAAACACCCAGCAACTCATCAAAAGGCTAGCAGTTTGAACTCAGCCAGTGGCTCTGCAGGAGAACGATCCTACAGTCTTGTCCCATAAAGCTTACATAGTAAAAAAGCCTATGGGGCAGTTCTAGTTTGTCACATGTGGTCTCTATGAGTCACAATAAATCTATGGCACCAAAAAAAAAAAACAAAAAACAGAAAAACTGTATAGCACAATTTTGAAAACTAAAAGATACAATGTTAGGAAGACTCAGTGCCTGCCACAAAATAAGGTTACAAATGGTAAATATTAATATGAAATGAGAGAAGGCACATAAAAAACAAAAATTAAAAACTTCAGCGAATAGGGCCAAAGTATTATGAAGATTAAATGAAATCAAGTGTATGTGGTGTTTAGGGTTGGCCTCCCATATAGTAAGTTGTTGTTGTTAAGAGCCACTGAGTCGGTTCCAACTCATAGTGACCGTGTATAGGATTTCCAAAGAGTAGCTGGTGGGTTTGAACAGATACCTTTCAGTTCAAATTGACCTTGAGGTCCAGTGCTTATCCTATAGTGCCACACCAGGATTCCAGATAATAAGTAATAACTCCTGTTATCATCATTAAGGAGCACTGGTGGTACAGTGATTGAACACTTAACTGCTTGTCAAAAAATTAGCTGTTTGAACCCACCAACCATGGGAGAATGATGTTGCAGTCTGTTTCCACAGAGATTTCCAGCCCTGAAAAGTCTATGGGGCAGTTCTACTCGGTCAGAAATACCTCCATGCCAATGGGTTTGGTATTAGGTTTTGGTTATTCATCATCATGATTGTTAGTCTGATTCATTCAGGGTTACAAGTTCATGTACTTGTCTAGTCAGGAGTGAGCACAGAATGGTATGTTAATGGTGCATTTTTCTAAAGTCTGTAATCCTACTTTTGATTACTTGTTATATGTGATCATTTCTGCTTTCAGCTCCATTCTTTCAAGACTGTATGTCTGAAAATACTCTAGATGAACTGAATATTGAATTACTGCGTAATAAGCTGTACAAGGTAACTCTCTCCCCAAAAGAATACATTTTTCTTTATTTAACAATGTATCATAACTGGTTATTGCTGCTGTTGCTAAGTACCATTGAGTTGGTACCAACTCATAGTGACCCTATATAGGATTATCAAGGAATGACTGGTGGGTGTGAATCACTGACCTTGTCGGTAGCAGTCCAGTGCTTATCCTACAGTGCCACACCAGGACCCCCTCATAACTAGAATTCTTCATTAAAAGTTACTTTGCCCATTAGTCAACTTCTATAATTATGAAATCGAGTCCTGGTGGTACTGTAAAATAAGCACTGGACTGCCAACTGCACAGTCAGCAGTTCAAACCTACCAGTTGCTCCTTGGAAACCCTATACAAGGTAGCAATGAGTCAGAATTGACTCCGTGGCACTTAACAACAATAGTTACGAAGGACTGCATGTAATACAATGAAGTAATACAGCTCTTACCATCCTGGCCCATCTTCTAGTTAAATACATCATGTCAACAGTTCCCAGCCAACAAGACTCTTCCTCTGCCTCCCTAGTTCCATCACAGTACTTAGAATATAAAGGGTGTTGGATAGTTGGGTGGATGGGTAAGTGGGGTGAACCATATCAATTCATTTTAAAGCCGACAGCATACATAATAATTCTTATGTTATTCTTTATCTAGTTTTCATTTCTGCTCTTATTCCTCTGATAGATTCCCTGAATTCCCAAATTCACACAATTTTAGTCTATGTCCAGTGTGCAACATGCCACCGGAAGTTGTTGCTAAGTGCCATTGAGTTGGTTCCGACTCATAGCAACCTTGTATAGGGTTTCCAATGAACAGCTGATGTGGTTGAACCACCAACTTTACTGTTCAATCTGACCTTGTGGTCAAGTGCTTATTCTACAGTGCTGCATTATATAAACTTATATAAGTTTATACACCTTATGGATATATAAAGCATGCTATGCAGAAACACGTGGTCTTCTCAAAAATATAAGGTAATTTTCCTTTCTATAAATAAATGTTTGGGTCCAGAAAAGGCATCCTTGACAGATACATAACAGAGGAACCATTCTCAGCAAGCTAGGTGTTAACTCAATCCATTCAGCGAAGCTATGATATTTGTACTATCCCATTTCTCTGATAAGAGAACTGAAGCATGGAGAGATAAGGTTTACTTAGCAGGACTCCATTAATTACTAAGTAACAGAGTTGAAATTCAAGCTGTGAGTCTAGCCCTACAGCCTAGATTTCTGTGCTTATCCTCCATGTTCAAAGCCATCCAACACATATATTCTAAGCACTGTGTCAGTATAGGACTAAATCTAAAATGATTTGCTGAACTTTAAATTGGGTTCAAAAGATCTAGCAACTCACATTAGAAAAGTCAGACTTACCATGTGAAATAATCTAAGAACCGTGCCAAAAATAAATCAGTGTTTGTTAAAAATGTATGTAAGATATGATAAGTACAAGTTTTATTTGTTTTGTTTTGCTTTTCTCATAGAGTTCTCTTTTAATCTGTGCAACATGCTGCTATGTGAACATTTGCACCAAATTTATTATAAAATATCTCCCTAAGGGAGAAACATTTCAGTTTTCATTAAATATTTTATAAGCCATGAAAAATTTATCTAGAAGTTTCCTAAAGGAAAGTATATTTATTTTATTGTTTTATGATCTTTCCTTTTTTTTTAAGTCTTATCTGGAGTCCTTCTTTAAATTCTGTAAGAACCATGGTGATGTCACAGCAGAAATTATGTGCCCCATCCTAGAGGTAAGAAAGAGTTCTTGAACTATTTAATGTCAGATCATGTACTCTGTACTTTTCATTTACTTACTCTTTTTTTTCTTTAACCTTAGAAACTCCTTTATCTAGAGGTAAAATCAATAATACATTTAGATATATGTAATTTTATATGTAATGTTATATATGCTATAACATATCAGTAGAAAGATGAGGTTTTCTGCTCCTGAAAGATTGACAGGGTGGCTATAAATTGGATTCAACTTGACAGCACTTCACAACAACAACACACAATCAATAGATTATACATAATTACATATATATATAATAATTGAATTATTAAGAATTAAGAGTAATATTTTCCAAGTTTTCCACATACAGGAGTTTAAAAAAACAAAAATGTAACATGCAAAATTATTTGGTCATGATTAATTTTGTTATATTTTGTAGAAGGTAGATTATATTTGATTAAAAATGTTACTTTTAACTGATGACATCAAATTGTATTTAGGAGTCCTGGTGTAGTGCTGTAGGATAAGCAATGGACCACAAGGTTGGTATGAACTGCGTGCAAGGTTGGGGCTTCAAATCTACCACCCACTCCTCTGAAACCCTATACAGGGTCACTGTGAGTCTGAACCAACTCCACAGCGGTTTTAACAACAATGACATATCGGTAACTAAGGAGCCCGGGCAGCTGTTCTGTGGGAAGATGATGAGGTTGTCTATGCTCGTAAAGATTTACAGTCTTGGAAACCTTATATAGGGTCACTATGAATTGGAATCAACTAGATGGCAGTGGGTTTGTTGGTCTGTTTTTATTTTATAGATAATTAGTGGATGACATAAGGAAGACCATAGAAGAATTGATGCATTTGAATTATGGTGTTGGAAAAGAATGTTATAAGTACCATGAACATGAACTGCCAGAAGAACAAACAAATCTGTGTTGGAAGAAGTACAGCCAGGATGGTCCTTGGAAGCCAAGATGACAAGATTTCATTCCTCATACTTCAGACATGTTACCAGAGGGACCAGTCCCTGGAGAAGGCCATCATGCTTGGTGAAGCAGTGGATCAGCATAAAGAAAAAACCCCCAACAAGATAGTTTGGCACAGTAGCAGCAGAAATGGGCACAAGTACAACAATAATAGTGAGGATGGTGGAGGACCAGGTAGTGTTTCGTTCCGTTGCACCTAACAACAACAACAGTGAATGGTATAATGTTCATAATAATCACCCAAATTCCTTCCACTTAGGGAATCTTGGGAAACTAGGAAATCCCATAGCATGGCACCGAAGTCCACTGTGGTTCCATTCACAGGGACCTAGTTCTTTATATGATTCCTAAAATACAGAACTGTCCCAAGTAACCACAGAGCATTCTAGTTCTAAGAAGACTCCATGGAGTAAAAGACTCACAGTTGGCAGGCTTATTTAACTATTATCAAATGTCATCATTTGATAATTGTCTACCTCTTTAATTAATGTTACACTCTTTTGAATTCTTCATGATATAGTTCATCTCTGCACAGAAGTTCCTTTGCTTTTTAATATCGAAACTCATTTTACACTTTCCAAATGCTTTGCTTTGCTATGTGAAACTAAGTTTCGTCTAAAAAAATCTTTTTAATCATTAAATTTTGCATGACAGTGACTTCATCTATGAGTAGCTATTTAGACAGTACAGTGACTTTTCCAATTTCAAGAAAAGAACAGAAGAACTAGATGGTGACCAGCTACCAGTACCAACTGCTCTGAAAGGGATCACGTTAGAAGGTACTGAATAGAGTGGCAGAAAATGGAGAATAAAACTCAAAATTATATATATATAAAAGACTATGTTTACTGTTCAGAAAGAGACTGGAGGAAGCCATGACTATGGACTTCGACGATCTTTCAAGTCTGGAAAGAATCTCACCCTAGAGGCCAAATTTTCAGCCAAGCAGTAGATAGGTGTATAGAGGGATAACAACATTAGTAAGGCATGTTTACCATAGAATGGTCAACCATTCAAAATCAAAAGGGCAATGTTGAGAAGAGATGGGAAGGTGGGTGGCATGGAAACAGGAAACACAGGGAGGAAGTAGGATGACTGGTGTTTCATGGAAGGGACTGTAATCATTAAGATGAAACAAAGTGTATGATTTGTTGAATGGGCAAAAGTAAGTGCTTAGTCATAAGCAAGATCATTATTGTTCTTATGTGTAGTAGAGTTGGTCCTGACTCATAGTGACGCTGTGTACAACAGAGCAAAACACTTCCCGGTCCTGTGCCATCATTGCTGTTGTTAAGTGCCGTGAAGTCAGTTCCAACTCATAGCAACACTGTATAGGGTTTCCAAGGAGTGGCTGGTGGGTTTGAACTACCAAACTTATTGTTAGTTGTTGTTAAGTGCTGTTGAGTCAGTTCTGACTCATAGCGACCCTTTATAGAGTTTCCGAGGAGTAGCTGATAGGTTTGAACCACCAAACTTGTGATTAGTAGTCCACTGCTTATCCCACAGCACCACACCAGGACTCCATGCCATCCTACTAGTATACTAGAAATATCAAAAACAGTAGAAGACTATGTCTTTGTAAACCTTGGGAATGTAAATAGGGCAGTATATGATTCAAAAAATGCTTCTCACTGAAAGGGTTAGATTGTACTACTGCATGCCCAATGTTCTCATTGGCCCTTTCCTAGTCCATGACACTACCATATTAGGTATGATTTTTATAAACTGCATGAAAAACCTATTTAATTATATTCATACATTTAAATAGAAATACCAGCTATGATGGCACATAATTTTAACATTTTTAATGAAATAATCTCAAGAAGTTTGTCCATTTTAGACCATGCACCTGTTGGTAAGTGTGAGACTGTTAATGTTTGCAGGAACAGAAAGTCTCATTTTTCTCCCACAGAGCCACTGGTGGACTCAAACCATTAACCTGGTGGTTCAAAGTCCAGTGCTTAACCTACAGAGCCCCTGTGCTTCCTGTTATTAGTCCCCTGTTATTTGTGCAACTGGAGAGCACTTTCAGTTTAGAAACTTCTTCTGTATATATTCTCAAATCTCATTTGACAAGAGATTCTAAATGAAGGTGGGGAAAAACATGGGGGGGGGCAGAAATATTGATCTGGACTTGCCTGGGAAAATTTGACCTACATTACAAAATTGTACCTTCATAGGAAAAAAAAAAAAACTAGTGACTTAAGGTCTTAGCAAGTACACTCCAGGAATGTACTGTTAGCTGTTTATAACTCTTCTTTTGAATATCTGTATAGTAAATGAAATCGTGAAAACGAGACATGAAATATGTTTGTTTTTTCTCCACTGGTCAACACACACTGCTAATAAAGTTGGGCTTGATTCCAGTTCATTTCACTTTCTTCTGTTGCCATCAACACCTCTACCCACTGGCTCCCACCAGGTATACCTTTCTTCATGTACAAAACGGTTGACAATGTGTGACCTGATTAACTGATGGCACTTCACAACAACTGAAAATGATCTTGAAGAATTTAGCTCACACATCAACAACACAGGTTTATTTGATGGCACTTAACAACAGCAACCATGTGCAGCTAATAATGATCTTGAAGAATTTAGCTCACAAGGCAACAGCACAGTTTTATTTTTACAACAACAAAAATTAAGTTATGCCTTTTAAACGAATGCCTATTAGTAGGGAGGAGTAAGAAGTACTCAAAGTGAGCTATTCAAGATAAGTTGCCAAGCTGCACACAAATCCCTGCAAAGAAGAGGTCAAGTGACACTAATACCATCCCATTTACTCTCCTCTACAATCAAATGTTGTCTTAGGCTGGGTTCTCAAGAGAAGCAAAATCAGTGATGCATATACATAAATTAAACAAGAGATTCAATTTAAGGAAATGCCTGAAGCGATGGTGGAAGCTGAGAAGTCCCAAATCCTTGGGTTAATGGTAGACTGGATGGAGGCTTTTCCTGAGTCACGTGGTAACAGGGGTGGATGAGCTCAAACTCTGTTGGTCAAGTGAAGACTGCTGGCTCACAGTGGGAGCTAGAAAATCAAACCTCTGTAGTCAGGAGTCAGGCTGCTGACTCAGATCCTAAGAACCAGAGATTAGAGGATGATGAGGTGAATGAAAATTCAAGAAAGAGAGAGTTTTCCAGAACATCCATACAAGTGGGCTTCCACAAGTTGGTGGGAAAATTCCATTATTTCTTGATACCTTACCAAGGAGCCCTGGTAGCGTAATGGATTATGAGCTGGGCTGCTAACCACAATGTCAGCAGTTTGAATCTCCCAGATGTTCCATGTGAGAAACATGAGACTTTCTGCTCCAGTAAAGATTTACAGCCTTAAAAGCCTTATACAGGGTGGCTATGAGTTGGAACCAACTCGGTGGCACACAACCACCACCACCACCACCTTACCCACAACATATTTTGGCTGCAGAACATAACCCAAATGAAACTTTCCTATCAACTGACTGGCTACTTGCTTCAGATCACAAAATGAAAATGATTAGATATCTGTCAAACTACCTAGACCAGTTGACATATAACATTAACCATCACAGATATCATGTCAATGTATCTGGATAAGGACTGTCAAACCATAGTCATTTGGTTGTGTTAGGTGCCACCTAGTCAATTCTGAGTCAGTGATCCAATGCATAGCAAAATTAAACACTGCCTGGACCTGCCCCATCCTCACAATTTTTAAGCTGGAGCCCATTGTTTTTGCCACGGTGCCAATCCATCTCATTGAGAGTCTTCCACTTTTACACTGACCCTCCACTTTACCAAGCATGATGTCCTTCCCCAGAAACTGGTCCCTCCTGATAACACGTCTAAAGTATGAGAGACGAAGTATCGCCATCCTGACTTCTAAGGAGCATTCTGGCTGTATTTCTTTCAACACAGATTTATTTGTTTGTTCATCTGGCAGTCCATGGTACTTTCAATATTCTTCTTCAACACCATAACTCAAATGCATAAATTCTTTTATGGTATTCCTTATGCATAGTTCAGCTTTCAGATGAATATGATGCTATTGAAAATAACATGGCTTGGGTCAGGTGCACCTTAGTCCTCAAACTGATATCTTTGCTCTTCATCAAACACCTTAAAGAGGTTTTTGCAGCAGATTTGCTTAATGTAATGAGTCATTTGATTACTGCTGCTTCTATAAGTGTTGATGTGGATCCAAGCAAAATGAAATCTTTAACAACTTTAGTGTTTTTTTCCATTTATCATGATGTCATCTCTTTGTGAAGTTGTGAGGATTTTTCCTTTTATATATACTGCAGTGCAATCCATACTGAAGGCTGTAGTCTTTGATCTTCATCAGTATTTTAAATCATCTTCACTTCCAGCAAGCAAGGTTGTATGATCATAAAATTTTGACATGCTTAGTTATAAATTGGACTATGTGGCATTGTGTAAACAAGAGGAAGACACATTAGCACAAACAAGGAAGTATGTGGAGGAGTCAGGTAACCTGTTTTATCAATCGTGAAGCCTTTCTGTTCTTTCCCCAGTCACCTGTCCATCCTACTTCTCTAACTACTGCCCCAATGTTTGCGTGATGGCCATCACTTTACTTCATGCAACTGCCTCCTCCCAGATGCCCTTGACTGCCTTGCATGTGTACAGTGCAAACTACTATGGTCCTTAAAACCATAACATTATAGACCTAGAAAGCTCATTCAAGAACATCTAGGACAGTGGCTTTCATTGATGCCTCCTCCTGCCCTAATTTTTATTTCAAGGTTTCTTATTGCCATGAAATCTCCATCTTGCATTATATCTCTTAGTTTGTTGTTGTTTGGTGCTGTGGAGTTGACATTGACTCACAGAGACCCCATTTGACAAAGCAGACCTGCCTCATAGCATTTTCTAGGCATTTCTCCTGTCGAGCTGGTAGTTGGGTTCAGCCACTAATCTTTCAGCTAGCAGCTGAACACTTAACCATTTTGCCACCGGGTTCCTCTAATCCCTAAACCCAAATCTGATATTGACTCATAGCAGAATCCTGACTCACAGTATGGCTACAGGATAGTGTAGAAGTCCTTCATAGGCTCTCATAGGCTGTAATCTTTAGAGAGGTGTACTATACCACAGTTTCACAGCTAAGCAGTTAATCATGGGCCACCAGGGATTCTTTTCTCATCCCTAAGAACAAAACAAAACAAAAAAGCCCATTGCTGTCAAGTCAGTTTTAACTCATAGTACCCCTTTACACAGGACAGAGTGGAACTGTTCGCTAGGGTTCCCAAGCCTCGTCTTTCTCCCTCAAAGTGACTAATAGGTTTGGACCTCCTACCTTGTAGTTAGCAGCCTAATGCATAACCCACTATGAAAACAAGACTTCCTGTCTTAACCTCGTTGTTACGTTATTAAGTACTGTCTAACTGGTTCTGACCCATAGTTACTCTGCATAGGGTTTTCAAGCAGTAACTGTTGGGTTTGAACTGCCAACCTTGCAGTTAGCAGTCCAGTACTTATCCTGCAGCACCACTCTAGGACTCCCTCTTATCCTTTGCTCCAGTTGTGTCCCATCAACTTGGTTCCAGCTTGTAGTCACCCTGTATAAGGGTTACCAAGGAGCGGCTGGTGAGTTTGAACTGCTGAACTTTTTGTTAGCAGTCCAGTATTTATCTTACAGTACCACACTCTTAACCTTGTTTTTAAGTGCTGTTGAGTTGGTTCTGAGTCATAGCGACTCTGCACAGGGTTTCCAAGGAGCGGCTGGTGAGTTTGAACCACCGACCTTGTGGTTCAAATTGACCTTGTGGTCCAGTGCTTTATCCCACAGCGTCAAGCCAGGATTCCATAGTTGTTGTTGTTGTTGTTCTTAAGTACTATCGAGTCGGTTCCATCTCATACTGACCCTGTATAGGATTTCCAAGGAGCAACTGGTGGGTTTGAACTGCCCATCTTGTGGTTTGGAGTCCAGTGCTGATCCATAGCGCCACACCAGAAATCCAGCATTTCATCAGAGGGACTAACACTGCTGTCAGGATTGAATATATTCAGTAGCCAGAGGCAGCTGCCATTGCGTCCAAGTAAAGCCACTGCCTTCTCTGACTCGCCCATAATTTCCATGAGGACAGTCAAAAGGATCAGATAGCCCTACCTCTCAATCTTGTTCTGATTACAATCTGTTACGTTTTTGACTATCTGATTACAATCTGGCTTTGTTATTGACTATTTACTCCAAAAGTAAGTAGATTAAAAAATATGGTTGAACAATTCTTTTTTCAGCCTTAATGCAGACAAATCACCTTGGAATTTTGTAAAAATACAGATTCTGGTTCAGTAGGTCTAGAGTACAGTCTCAGATTGGGCATTTCTCAATGCAGAACTTCAAAGCTGCTCATTGACAAAGCATACTTTGAGAAGCAACATTGTAAATAATATTTACAAATTTGAAACATGATAGAATCATAGACCATTCTGATTCCGTAAACAATTAAGATTCTCTTTTTGTGGGTAACAGGATATTAAAAAATGAATAGTGAACAAAAGAGACATGGTCCTTCAAAGATGTTACCATCCAACAGGGAGAAAAATAATACCTATTTTAAATACATAATGTGGCAAATTCAGGGTGCTGAGTAAGAAACTCTTAGCCCAAAGACTACATGACCAGCATCCGTGGTGGGCAGAGGAGATGTCTTGGAAGAGAGACTGAGAGAGAAGAGTCAGAGTACATAGAAGTAGAACCAAGGGACAGTGAAAACATGAGAAATTCATGTTAAGTATTTCAAGAAGAAGTGAGTAGTTAGATGAAACAGAGAAGTCCGGAGTGGGGATAGGAACTCAGGCACCCAGCATGTACAGACTATGTAAGTCCATGGCCATACATGAAGTGTGTGGCACTGTCGGAAAAGCACTGGTCAACAGCTCAGGCCAACCAGCAGCTCCTCAGAAACCCTATACACGGTCACTATGCATGAGAACCAACTCAATGGCACTAACGACTACAACAACCTATGATATGGAGTCCTGGTTTTATGATGTAAGATAAGCACTGGGCTGTTAACCAAAAAGTTAGTGGTTCAAACCCACCTGCCATTCCTCAAACACCCTATTGTTGTTCAGTGCTGTCTAATCAGTTCTGACTGGTAGAGACCCTGTATAGTGTTTCCAGGGAGCAGCTGGTGGGTTTGAACTAACAACCTTTGGATAGCAGTCCAATGCTTATCCACCAGCCCCACACTGTTGTTGTTTTTAAGTGCCATCACGTTGGTTCCAACCCATAGCAACCCTATCTAAGTTTTCCAAGGAGCAAATGGTGAGCTTGAAGCGCCAACCTTGCAGTTCAAACTAACTTTGCAGTCCAGAGTATTAACCCACAGAGCTACACCAGAACTCCCAAAAGCCCTATACAAGGTTGCTATGAGTCATAACCAACTTGTCTGCACTTAATAACAAGAAGAGAACATTAATAACACATGTCTGTTATATAATTAGACATTGTTGTTGTTGATAAATGCCACTGAGTCAATTCCAACTGATAGCAACCCTGTTAGAAAAAGATAGCAAATCACTTCAAAATGAATGATGATTCACTTTCACTGATTTTATGTTTTGCAATCTCAGTTTGAGGCAGACAGACGAGCTTTTATCATCACTCTTAACTCGTTCGGCACTGAATTAACCAAGGATGATCGAGAGTCCCTTTACCCAACCTGTGGCAAGCTCCATCCTGAGGGCCTCCGCCTGTTGACTCAAGCAGAAGACTTTGAACAGATGAAGAGAGTAGCGGATCATTACGCAGTAAGTGTTTATACCAGATTCCCCTTAATGTCATATGGTCCCCCAAACAACATTCCTTCGTATTTTATCATACATCAAGTTTACATTTCTTATCTAAAGCAAGCCCAGTGTTTTTAACTATCTCTTCCCAAGAAACATTTCAAGTTTCTAACCTCGACTTGCAATATTAAAGGATTCTATGGACAAAATATTGAATGGTAGAAAGCATCAAAAGACGATGGAGTACAAATTGAAATCTTTCCACACTGGAGAAGCTCACTTATCTATGGCAAGAAATTTGGAAGACAACCACCTGGTCAACTGATTGGGAGAGATCCATGTTTGAGGCCATTCCAAAGAGACGTAACCCAATGGAATGTGAAAATCAACAATATAATTAATACCACACACAGGTAAAATTTTACTGAAAATAATTCAAAAATGGCTGCAATAGTACATCAACAGGGAATTGCCATAAATTCAAGTTGGAATCAGAAGAGGACATGAAACTAGGGATACCATTGTTAATGTTAAATGGATCTTGGCTGAAAGCAGAGAATACCAGACAGATGTTTACTTGTGTTTTAATTGACTCTGCAAAGGCTTTCAACTCTGTGGATCATGACAAACTATGGATAACATTGCTAAGAGAAGAACAGGTATTTAGAACGCATAATTATTCTATGAGGAACCTAAATCAAGAGACAGTTGTTTGAATAGAACAGGGGGATACTGAATGGTTTAAAATCAGGAAAAGTGTGACCAGGGTCATATACTTTCACCACACTTACTCAATCTGTATAATGAGCAAATAATCCAAGAAACTGGATTAGATGAAAAAGGATGTAACATTAGGATTACAACCCACAATATGCGGATGATACAACTTTGCTTGCTGAAAGGAAAGAACAATTAAAATACCTACAAATGAAAATAAAAAACTACAGCCTTCAGTATGGATTGTATCTTAATGTAAAGGAAACCAAAATTTTCACAACTGGGCAAATAAATAACATGATGATGAAAAGAGAAAAGATCAAAGTTAATAAAGACTTTCTTTTGCTTGGTTCTACAATGGACATCCATGGAAACAGCAGTCAAGAAGTCAAAAGTAATACTTCATTGGCAAATCTGTAGCTCAAGAGCAAAGATGTCAGTTTGAGGACTAAGGTGCCCCTCACCCAAGGCTTGGTATTTTCTATTGTCTCATCTGTATGTAAAAATGGGACAATGAGTAAAGAAAACCACAGAAGAATGTATGTTTTTGAATTGTGATGTTGGAGTAAAATATTAAAGGTACCATGGGCTGCCAGAAAAGCAAACATATCTTTGTTGGAGGAAGTGCAGCCAGAATGCTCTCTTTGGCTGAGTCTCCACTTTACCAAGTATGATGTCCTTCTCCAGGGACTGCTCTCACCTGATAACATGTCTGAAGTATGAGAGATGAGAGATGAAGTCTCACTATCCTGGCTTCTAAGGAGGGACCATCCATAAAGAAGGACATCATATTTAGTAAAGTGGAGGGTCAGTATAAACGAAGAAGAGCCCCAACAAGATGAACTGACACAGTAGCTGCAGCAGTGGGCACAGATGTGACAATTATGAGGATAGCACAAGACTGGGCAGTTGTGCTGAGTCATAACTGACTGGAAAGTACCTACCAACAGTCCAAGCTGGTAGCTTGTGTTTTGTTTTAAGATTTCTGCCAAGCAAGTACTTGTTAAATTTCCCAGGGAGTGGTCATTTGAGCACAAAGTGTTTTTTTAAAGCAAGTTCCCCAAGAGACTGCTGCAGAGTTCTCAGAGTTATTCAAAATAGCCTGACCTAGCAATCTTTTCAAATGTGGAGTGAGTAAACTGGGTGAGACATTGAATACATACAGTTGACTACAAAGGAGAATATGGACACATGGAATTATACTATTGTTGTTAAGTGCTGAGTAGGTTCTGACTCATAGCAACTCTGTATAGGTTCTCCTAGGAGAAGCTGTTGAGTTTGAAATGCCAACATTGTAGCCAGAAATAAAAAAAGGAAAGAGGTTAGTATCCAGCTATCCTTGGAGAGCCTGAAGCTTCCCAGCTCAAGATTGCACTCCTCCTTCCTCAGACTTAAAATAGTAATGTATATTACCTGCAGACAGATTTTCCAGACTACAATGACACTCTTTCCTCTTCCTGCCTGTGTCTTTAAACTTTCAAGAAAGAATCTGAATGAAAACACGAATGTAGCTATTTGGAGAACTTTCCAGGTATGGTGCTATAGGATACACATTGGACCACAAGGTTGGTTTAAACCACAAGATCAGCAGTTCAAATTCACCAGCCACTCCTCAGAAATGTTATTTATACAGGGTCACTATGAGTCAGAACCACTCAACGGCACTTAACACCTACAGTCTAGCACTGCCTGAGACATCCCCCCCACACACACAGCCCCTTTTTCGTGTTCTTGATGTCTTAGGTAGATGCTTTTATGATGTCAGTGATTGTCCTAGGCTTCTGAAAAGAATACCAACAGCCCCCCACACACACACACACATCATAACAAACAGGCACTGGGAGGAGCTAACCTTTTTGACATCAGATCATCTTTTGCATTTGTGTGGATACCAGAATGATAAGACTATATAAATGTGTGCATGTATAAATATGGTTTGCATATTTATCCCTCTTTATTGTGAGTGCCCCAGGTGTTCCTAAAGCAGGTTTCCTGATAATAAAGGCATGTCTCTTTCTTTGATTATCTGAGATGTTTGTGAATTGGACTCAATCACTCCAGTACATTGGACCCATACTCATGAGCTGACATGAATGTGGAAATTGGCTCAAACAGTACACCATACATTGAAAGCAGAATTATTATTGCCTATAGGTGGCGTCGTGGGCTAATGCATCAGACTGTAAAGTCGTTTGAACTGCAAGGTCGGTAGTTCAAGCTCACCAGCTGCTCCTTGGAAACCCTATACAGCATTGCTATGGGTTAGAATCAACTTGACAGCACTTAACTACAACAACATTGCATGGTCAGCAGTTCGAACTCACCAGCTGCTCCTCAGAAACCCTATACAGGGTCACTATGAGTTGCAACTGACTTTAAGGCACTTAAGAAGAACAACAACAATTGCCTTATAGGTCCGAATAAGACAATAGGCTAGAAAATCATCCACAAAATAGTCTCTCAGTACTTGAATTATTTTGCACTTACTCAGAAGACTAATGATCCTATAAGAAAATATTCAGGCCTTACGGCATATACTTTTAAACAGATTCAAAACTTCTCTATTGCTTGAAAAATACATTCTTATACATTTATGAGAAATGAGGATTTGTTTTGTAATAATCTCTTGTCTTTGTTTTTAAGGTTTACAAGCCATTATTTGATGCCGTGGGTGATGGCAATGGGGGAAAGACATTGGAAGATGTGTTTTATGAACATGAGGTATGATATCACTGGAAATACCATCAGCCTACAGAAATAGGGTCCTGGTGTGGGGCTGTAGGATAAGCACTGAGCAGCTAACCACAAGGTCACTAGTGGCCCCTCAGAAACCCTATACGGGATTGCTATGAGTCTGAACCAAGTCAACAGCACTTAACAACATTAACCTACATATGGTTTTGAAGTCTTGGTATGGCACTGTAGGATAAGCACTGGACTGTTAGCCACAATGTTGATTGCTCAAATCCACTAGCCACTCCTCAAAAATCCTGTACAGGGTGCTGTGAGTCAAAACTGACTCTACAGTACTTCACCACAACAACACATGCCATTTTAAATATTTTCTTACTTTGAGTTTTCATTTTACAGTTGATTGGGCCAATGGATTTAGCACATTCCTAGTTTGAGAGGGCATAGTCCATGGCTAATTAGTGCTGTCTCCTTGGAGTATGCTAGGAGTCAAAATCATCTCCACAGCAGTGGGTCTCCTTGGAGAGACAGATCCCTATGAATCATAATGGCTTCATGTGTGGTTGTCTTACCCAAATGAATGTGTTCCAAGTGAAGCTGTGGAAGGTATGCAAGTTGTCAATAATTAAGCTAGGACATCCTAATGATCAAATACTAACTATCCTCATGGTATATGCTTTATAGGTGAATCTCTCATGCCCTGTCTTCAAGAAAGGGCCAACCCATGATTATAATGATAACTCATGGATTTTCCTTGTTGTTAAGTTCTGTCAAGTTAGTTCCAACTCATAGTGACCCTGTGTAGGCTTTTCAAGGAGTGGCTGGTGGGTTTGAACTGCTGATCTTGCAGTTAACACTCCAGTGCTTATCCTACAGCACAACACCAGAACTCCATTAACTCATGTGTACAACTATATAAAAATCTATCCAGAGAGTCTAGATTTTTCTGTTTCCCTAGAAAAGGCAGGAGAATATTTAACTCATTTATAGTTAATTTCTGGGCTACTGTTAAATTCATCACACATTGTTGGTACCAGATAAGATCCCTCAAGCCTAGAGAATTTTTCTACTGTATATTTTTCTCTTCTCTGAAACTATTGCTGCTTCCATCTCAACCTGATTGAAGCGGTCAGAACTAAGAGCCAAACTAAATCCTCTGCCATCAAGTTGATTTCACACAGTGAACCTATATAGGGTTTCTGAGACTGTAAATCAGACAACCTCATCTTTCTCTTTGGGAGCAGCTAGTGGGTTTGAACTACTGACCTTGAGTTTAGCAGTCCAACACTTAATCCACTGCCTTGAAGACTCCTTAAAACTATCAGAGAACCCTGGAATTGACCCAAACTTTCTGGTTAGACATGCTCCTGGGAGCAGTATAGAACCTTCCTCTAAGTCCTGCTCTGTGGAATTTCCCACCAGCTCTCTAATGCCTGTCCTGGAAGGAACTGAGTTGTTATTGAAAGAACTATAAACGATGTAAATTAATATGTTAGGGATGTTTTTGAATTCCACATTGTCGCTCTACTGCTACAAGAGAGACTGATAAGGAAGCTGTCCTTGGCAGAAAATATGAGGGGCTTCAAAAGGTTTATGGGAAAATTCCATTATCTTTTCATTTCAGTTTTCCATGAACTCTGTAAAGCCCCTATCGGTCTCTATTACTAAGAGTAGGAGCTTCCACTTCCTGATTACTTTTCTTGATGTTTTCAGAGCTGCATAGAGGAGTCTCAGCACCTCCCTTTTTTCATTCTAAGAGTCAACATGAAAAAGAACAAAGGAAGAGTTACTTTCAGATGTTAACCAAATCAGGGGAAAAAAAAAATTCTTTTAAGTTTCTTTTTGTTGTTAGGTGCTGTCAAGTGGGATCCAACTCATTGTGACCTTATGCACAAAAGAACGAAACATTGCCTATTCCTGTGCCCACTTCCTAATCATTGTCAGACTTGAGCCCTTTGCTGCAGTCACTGTGCCATTCCATCTCCTTGGGGGTCTCTCTTTTTTTGCTGAGCCTCCACTTTACCAAGCATTTGTCCTTCTCCAGGAACAAGTCCTTCCTGATAATAGATCTGATACACGAGAGACAAATTCGTCCATCTTGGCTTCTAAAGAGCATTCTGGTTGTACTTCTAATACAGATTTGTTTGTTTTTCTGGCATTCCATAGTACTTTAAATATTCTCCTCCAGCATCATAATTCAAATGCATCAAGTCTTCTAAGGTCTTCCTTATTCGCTGTCCAACTTTTACATGCATATGGCATTTGCATGTGAAAACTTACCTAAAATTTTACAGAAAGAAAACATTCCAACTGTATGTGAAGTTGCTGCAGTATACCCTGAGAAATTCAGAATACAACTGAGTTTGAATTTCAGGGGTTCATATCATTAACCAGAGGAGGCACAGGCTGACTGCCTTTTTCAAATTGCACACGATGTAGTCAAGGAGAAATAATTTACTTACCTAAATGAGATCAGCCCATTAACTGAAATCCAAATAAATATTACTGCTAAGTTATACACACACATAAAAATCTCATGGGAATCTTTGCACTAATGTTTTGGGATGCTCCCAAACGTATTTTTATAATGTAAGACTGTCTCTACATTTATCGGCAGATAGAAGCTTTCCCTTTAGTCAAATCACCACTGTTTGGTCTATTTGGCCCAACTTGGCTATTGCTGACTAGAAATGAGCTTGGCACAAGCAGATTAAGTACAAACTATAGTTTAATATTATTTCATTAATGGAATGGGACAGCACTTAACAACAACAACAACAATGTGTTGCAAATAAATTGAAGATTCATGTTTTGTTTTTGTTTCTTCTCTCCTCAGGTACAAATGAATGTGCTGGCATTCAACAGGCAATTCCACTATGGCATTTTTTATGCATACATAAAGCTGAGGGAGCAAGAAATGAGAAATATCGTGTGGATAGCAGAATGCATTTCACAGAGACATCGAACTAAAATCAATAGTTACATTCCAATTATATAGCCTAAGGGAAGTCTGCAAATGCAGAAAATCATAAATAGTGAAAGGATGTTATAGAGGAAAATAAAAGAAATATGTTATCTAGGATGCATAACACAGTAAACACACTGCACCTTACATAAATTGCAGAATCACTGGAAATACAAAAAAACAACTCAGAAACCAATGATTTCTTTTTTCCAACTGCCTTGAATCTTGTTTCCACATTTATGTCTCACTGTTCACTGGCCCTCAGACTAATTTCACTTAGCCCTATCATACTTTTCTTATTCTTGTTGGGCTGTGTTAAAAATCAGGACTAATAAAAGTGTTTTGTGTTTACATGCAGCTCAAATGCCGAATGACTATTTTTTACTTGTTACTTCCCAGTAGTTATTGCTGTTAGGTGCCATCAAGTCAGTTCTGATTCATAGCAACCTTATGCACAACAGAGCGAAACATTGCCCGGTCTTGTACTATCTTCACAACTGTTGTTAGGGTTGACCCCATTGCTGCTGCCACTATGCCAGTGTATCCCGTTGGGAGTCTTTCTCTTTTCTGCTGACCCTCCTCTCTACCAACCATGACCCTCCTGATAACATGTCTGAAGTATGAGAGACAAAATCTGGCCATCCTGGCCTCTCAGGAGAATTCTGGCTGTACTTCTTCCATGGTACTTCTAAAATTCTTCTCCAGCACCATAACTCAAATGCATCAATTCTTCTAGAGCTTCCTTATTCAATGTCCACCTTTTACATGTATATGTTGTTGTTGTTGTTAGGTGCCATCATGTCAGTACCAACTCATAGCAAACGTATGCAAAACAGAATGAAACACTGTCCTATCTTGCACCAACCTCACAGTCATTGCTGTGCTTGAGTCCGTTGTTACTGCCAACTGTGCCAATCCATCCCATCAGGGGCCTTCCTCTTTCTCCATGATGATTCTCCACTTCACCAAGCATGATGCCCTTCTCCAGAGACTGGTTCCTCCTAATAATAAGTCTGAAGTATGAGAGACGAAGTCTGGCCATCCTGGCTTCTAAGGAGCATTCTGGCTGTATTTTTCCCAACACAGATTTGTTTGTTCTTTTCATGGTCCATGGTACTTTTAAGATTCTCCACCAATACCATAGCTCAAATGCATCAATTCTTCTATAAGGCTATTGAAAATACCATGACATGGGTCAGAAGCCCCTTAATCCTGAAACTGAAATCTTTGCTCTTGAACATGTTACAAGTGGTCTTGTGCTACTTGCATAGATCTGCAAAAGTCCAGAATTGTAGGTAGCCAGCATGGGCCATATTTGATGGGAAATAGTGTAGCTTTTTCCTTGTTTCTTTTTTCAAAATAAAATTTTATTTTATAGGTTTGCAAAATACCATTTTTGAAAACTAAGATTTTTTACAAACTAAAAATGCATCAGTAGCTCTATGACAATAGTGGGGCTATTGGTAGACTTCTGGTTCCCCTAAGTCTTGTAGTACTTGCTAGCCAGTACAAAGTTCTTATTGTAAAAATTGGAAACCAGTTTTAAAATACAGTGAAAGTCATATTCCAGGTAGCAAGGAATAGGTCCTAATCAATAGAGGTAACTGTCATTTGACTTTGTTGTTGTTAAGTGCTGCTGAGTCAGTTCTGACTCATAGCAACCCTGTATAGAGCTTACTAGGAGTGGCTGGTGGGTTTGTACCACTTACATTGCAGTTATCAGTCCCATGATTATCCTACAAAGCCAGGACTCCATTATTATGACTTGGTAGCGTAATGGTTATGAATTGGGCTGCGAACCGCAAGGTCAGCAGTTTGAAAGTACCAGCTGGTCTGCGGGAGAAAGATGAGGCTTTCTGCTTCCGTAAAGATTTATAGCCTCAGAAACCCTATGCAGAGTCTCTATGAGTTGGAAATGACTCTATGTCACTTAATAACAACAACAACATTAATTTAGTAAAATACTAACACAATTCAGTTAATGTCTGCAATATTAAGCATTTCAGAAAGCAAAAGGATTGAGTGTAGCTTTTTCCTTTTAAAAGTAATGAAGGTATATAATGCCCTTTCTACTTACATTAGCCCCGGGAACCCACTGCCATCCAGCCAATTCAGACTAAGACTGACCCAACAGGGCAGAGGATAAGGGTTCTTTTGGGTTTCTGAGACTGTAAATCTATACAGCAACACACAGCCTTATCTTTCTTCTGCAGAGTGACTGGGGAGTTTGAACTGCTGATTTTGTAGTTAGCAGCCCACCATTTAACCCACTGCAGCACAGGGCTCCTTGACCTCACTAAACTAGGCCCAAAATAGAGTCGATTGTGCTGAATCCATGCCCACCACCAAAACAATAAGAAATATGAAGTGTAAGTCTGTACTACTTGTAAATGGCTAACCTTCCCAAGAGCCAAAATCCAAGTCAATCAATTGACTCTCCCAGAAAAATAAACCGAAACGAGTAACTAGGAATTGCCTGCTGACTTTGACCTTGTTCAAAATTTCCCCTTAATCCCAAATAAGGAAGATGATGACACCCAGCCAATCCAAGTTTTGTCCAGTCTAATCTTCTTCATTATAAAGCCCTTGTATAATGCGTTGTCCACTTTGGATGTTCTCAGAATAATAGGAATGTACCCCACGAAACCAAACCCACTGCAATTGAGCCCATAACAATTCACAGCACCCCTAGACAGGATTTCTGCAACTAGAAATCTTTACAGAAACCAACTGCATTTTTCTTCTGAGGAGTGTCAGGTTGGATTAAACCACCCATCTTGTGGTTAGTAAGCCGTCAAGTGCTTATCCAACAGTGTCACCAACATTTGAAAAGATTTCCCTGAAATCCATTCAAGGACATCCTCAGGTTCTGTAATCTAAGTCAAAAGCTCCATTGACCAGGCTGAAAGCTGAGAGAAAATGACATGATAAAAAGTAATAAGTTAGATACTCATAACCCTTCATACCTCTTAGGAGGACATCCTGTTGAACTGAGCAAGTAACTTTAGTATAGTCATCCCACTTGGGTGGAAAATGTCTCCACACCCGGCTAGAACAATTCGGTCATGCTTATAAGGATGAATAGAGTGGCAGAAGTCAGTCCTAATTTGCCTTCAAACGGAATCAAAATGATAAACCAAAGCATTCAATACTCCTCCTTTAAAAAACAAACAAAAAACTTGTTGTTGTTAGTTGCTGTAGAGTCAATTCTAACTCATAGCGGCCCTATGCACAACAGAACTGAACACTGTCTGGTCCTGAACCATCCTCACAATTGTTGTTTCATTTGAGGCCATTACTGCTGTTACTGTGCCAATCCATCTCACTGGAGGTCTTTTTTACTGATCTTCCACTTCACCAAGCATGATGGCCTTCTCCAGGGAGTGGTCCCTCCTGATAACATAGAGTATGAAGATGAAGTCCTTTTTCTTGCTTAAGGAGCTCTGGTAGCGTAGTGGTTACGAATTGGGCTGCGAACCTTAAGGTCAGCGGTTTGAAACTACCAGCCGCTCCACGGGAGAAAGATGAGGCTTTCTACTCCCGTAAAGATTTATACCCTCGGAAACCCTGTACAGGGTCGCTATGGGTCGGAACCGACTCGACGGCACTTAACAACAACAACAACAAGGAGCATTCTTGCTGTACTTGTATCGATGCTCATATCTACCAAATGCATTACCCAAAGATACTGGTTTTTGCAAGAAGGGCTGATGCAAACTTTGTGAGCTGATTATAAATAGTAAATGCAGACCTGCTGATGTTTCCTGAAGCTTATCTTTAAGACTGAATGATCAAATGGGAAAAATTATTTTTAAGGCTTCATCTTTAGGGAAATAGAAGAAAACTGGGCTCTCACATTCCCTCCTAGGACCTAGAGATGAATCATTTCTAACTTCTTAGTCATCTTTTATTGCCTAAAGTCAAATAAAAATAAGTGTAAGAGTGAAGAGTAAGTGGGTAAGCCAGATGCATAAACTGCTTAGTAAATATTATAACTCCAGGAAGAGCAGGTGGATCTAAATTGGTACATTTTCCAAAAGAAAACATATATCTTTATGTGCGGGAAGTAGCCTGTGTTGATGAGGCCATTTTCAGGCAAGATTGTGGAGAATGGGGCTTAGTGTAAATACAAACAGCTGGACACACTTCTAGCACCTTCCTAAGCCACATGGAAACCATAAATTGGTTTAAGATAAGAGTAATTGTAAAATATAGGAAGGCAGCAGCAAGAAGAAAAGGAATGCTACTGTTAAAGCCAAACAGTGGAAACTTCAGCGGAGCATATGACGATTTTTTTTTTCAGAATTGGCTCTGGGTTCACGTCATGAAAAAAGCCTATTTTGAGAGACAACTTACCTGAGGAAAAATCAGAGAAAGCAAATGTCAGGTGGGTGTTGAATGAAAAGCATATGCTTCTAAAGCCAAGTTAAGACCTTAATTGTTTCCTTCTATATTTTATTTAGGTTTCCCCTATGCATTTGCCCAATAGGACATAATTATTATAAATGTTCAATGTAATTAGGCAAGAAGAGAATTAAACACAAAACTTGGTCTCAACTATAACTGTCAGGCACTAGAGCACTGAAAGGGTTTAACATCTCAGAGACAAAGATAAATCTGTATGACAGCTATTTTGAATGTCCAAGAACCCTCTGGAATGACTAAATGTTTTCTCTATAAGAAGTCTTATCTCAATTTTAGATAGTTAATAGAAAGTGATCCCCCACATTCTCTGAATGTGATTGCATACACAAAGGAAAACCTGCCTTTTTATTAGAGTCTTTTTTTTTTATAAAGCTGATATAAATTGAGGGTCTTTTCTTTTTAAACTCATAAAGGTGCTATCAGCTTGGTAAATAAGGCTTTAAGGTCTAAATTATGGTGCCAACCAGTATAAGTCCAAAATCAGAACTTAAGAAGTTTTGAGTGTATATATACAAGAATAAGCAAGCGGTGCACCAGGAAGCTATCATGGCAGGCAATCAAGTTCCTTCAGGACAAACTCCCTTCTAAGACTGAAACTCAGAGGGAAC